ACACACACACACACACACACACACAGAGCTTCTTAGGTTTACCCATACGGATTACCTAGTTTTTCATAAACTAACTAACTAACTATATATATATATATATATATATATATATATATATAGATGTCTATGGTGTGTGTATGTCACCACGAAATGTATCTTTATGGATTAGACATCCGACAACATTCATATTTCTCTTACTTAAACCCCTTCCACTCACCTCTCCTAAAATTCTCTCTGTTAAGTTTTAATCTCCCTCTTTCTCTAGTCTGTTACCCCCCTCTTTAGCTCTAACATTCGTCCCACACCCTCATACTTACACTCTGTCTAAATTCTGTTTTTATTTCCGGAGTTGTTTTTTCTGTTTTCTTTTTGAATTTGTAGGTCTGATGAATTGGATCGTATTTACGATTCCAATGGAATAAATTATGACCATGGAATTTTAGCGTTTAATCCTTTTATTATATATATATATATATATATATATATATATATATATATATATATATATATATATAAATAATTTTTTTAATAAATGTATTTGCATTGTTCAGGAAAAACTTTTCCCATGGATGAAATGATTATCTGTATGAGGTAAATTGTTTGGATCTCATTAATTGTAATTTACACACACACACACACACACACACACACACACACACACACACACACACACATACATACATACATACATACATACATACATCACACACACACATATACATATATATATTAGGATAACAACCCTTCTTTTATGCATGTTTCTCTAAATATGATGGACAAGGGTAATCTGAATTTTTTTTTCTTGTGTTGTTAGAAAGTGTTCTTTTTCGCGAGCTGTGTGTAGACATTTTCCTTCGCGTCGGCTTTTGGCTAATACTTTAAAGAGAATGCGACAAAGAGGTGAAACTGAATGAAAACCAATTTAGGAAAAGTTGAAAGATGAGATTATATAAAGGGTGGAGATGGAATTCGAAAAAATAAAAGATGAAAAAGTGAAGGAGATAATTCTGAAAATAAATAACAAGAAATCGAACGTGATGGAAAAAAAAAATCGAAAACGAAAAATATAATAAATAAGTGACAAGAAGAAAAAGCGAAACGAGAACAAGAAAGAGAGAGAGGGCGAGAGAGAGAGAGAGACTAAAGAAGTTGAAACAAAAAGAAAGACGGCTAAAGCGAGAGAAAAGAAGAAATAAAAGACAGAAACAACAAAACAAACAGAAGAAAGAGAAAGAAGAGAAAAAGTAAGAAATTGAGGAGTTAAAAGAAAAAGGAAAATAAAAAAGGAGAAAAGAAATAAAATAAAAAGAAAGAGGTAGAAGATGAAAAATACAGGAAATAGGGAGAAGAAAAAAAAATGAAAAAGGAGCGTAAAAAGAGAAAGTTGATAAATTAATGGAAAGAAGGGGGAAAGAGAGTTAAAAACGTAAGAAAAAAAAAGAGGTAAAGACAGAAAAGGAAAAGAGAAGAAGAAGAAGAAGAAGAAGAAGAAGACGACGACGACGACGAAGAAGAAGAAGAAGAAGAAGAAGAAGAAGAAGAAGAAGAAGAAGAGATAACTGGTACAAAACGAACAACAAAGAAAACGTAAGGTAAATGGTAGGAAAAGTAAGAACAGAGAAAAAGAACAAATCGGAACTAAGTGGAGGAACAAAAGAATTGAAAAATAAAGAAAATGTGAAAGAGAAGAGGAAAAAGAAAGAAAAGATGCGAAAAAAAGAAGAAAAGAGAAAAAATATGGAAAAAAAGATGGAGGCACGATAGTTAAAAGAGGGAAACGTAAGAACAATGATAGGGAAATGGGGTGAAAAAAGAAAAGGAAAGAAAAATGACGAGGACAAGAAGAGGAAAAAGAAAAAGAAAATGGAAAAGAGAAAAAGAAGGCTCTTTCTAGATGTAGTATTAATAAGATCGTTTTTTCATGTTAGTTACTCGTGTCTGTTCGATGTTTATTATTCTTTAGTCAGGCGGGAAGCTATCATGTCAGAGGATAAACAGGTTGAATAGAGTTTTCGACAAAAAGACACATGCCCACGGGTGTGGCTGGGGCAGTGGGCTCGCTCTGAACGCCAGCCACCCGTTCGGCTCCAAGAATTCACGCTCAATTATGTAGCGCGAATGAATTCAGCTCACACATATACAGACGCGCATGCGCGCCTATTTACCCATTTTCATATATATATATATATATATATATATATATATATATATATACATGAAAATATGTGCGTGTGCGCGCGCGCGTGTGTGTGTAGAGAGAGAATGCGGGGAGAGAGTGGAAAGAGTCAAATTTAGGTTAGGTGAGTAAGCGCTTACCTATGCAAGTATGAAGCATATGTTGCGCCAAATACCTGAGAATGGAGTGCCCGATTCGAGAATCAGTTTTCGGATTTCAGGTTTTAACTTGGGTTTAAACACGGTGCATTAGGAATGATAGATAGATAGATAGATAGATAGATAGATAGATAGATAGATAGATTGATTGATTTTTTTCAATCATTTTGTTAGAAGACAGAAAAATCACTAGGGCCAGAAGACAGTAGATAACGACTGATATAGCATTTTAATTTGTTGAAGATCAAAGTTAGCTAGAAAGAATGGAGCCGGAAGAGATTTCTACAAGGGAAAGTGCAAGAAAAGAAACTGCTAGCATAGAACGGTTACATCGAGCCAATTCAACTGTAAATTGATGAGACCAATCTAGTATTGCTCTTAAATTCATAAAGTCCAGGTACTTTACCAATGACGAAGATTTAGAGAAAATGAAAACAAAAAGGAAAGTAATACTTAACACCTGGACTAGACAGTTGATGTTTCTGGAGCATATAATGAGAAAGGAGAGCTTGTAAAATCTGATACTCACGAGAGAGATAGAGGGCAAGAAGGACAGAGGTTAACAGCGTATAGCTGAGTTAGTTTGAGTAAATGACTGGCAGAACAGGGTTTAGTCTTTATGATGTTTCTCCTAAAGTCTGTTCCGCATACTGAGTTTCTATGATGCATTCCGGATAAGTATTTATCCAACATTCCCACACACCAGGATGTGACACAAGGTTGCCTTTTTCTCTGAGGAGCGCCATATATATATATATATATATATATACGAGGTCTGTCTAAAAAATAACGAGACCGGGTATGCTGTGTGAACTATGGACATCGGCCACGGTGATTTCTTTGTCTGCAAAGAGATTCTGCGGCGTTTGCTTCGCTTAGTGTGCGAGAAGAGACGGGAGTTGTGGCAGAACAAATCGTTGCTCCTTCACCACAGCAATGCAGCTACTCACAATGCCCTGAGCATCCCGCAGTTCCTTGCAGAGAAGAACATCGCTGTATTGGAACAACTTCCTTATTCACCTGATCTTGCTCCGTGTGACATTTTTTTATTTCCCCAAGCTGATGGGGACCCGTTTTAAATGCGTGTAGGTCATCTAATTCCCAAGATTTCCCTTGGTCGTTATATTTAATGAAACATGCATAAAAGAAGAGTTGCTCTCGATATATATATATATATATATATATATATATATATATATAGTTTCTCTCGCTCTTTTCTCTCTCTTTCTTATATATATATATATATATATATATATATATATATATATATATATATAAACTCTTCGTTATGAATTGAGCACTCTGGTAGTTGTTTATATTTCGTATATAATACTTTAAAAATTCCATTTACCCGTAGCGTGCGCTGGCGGCCAAAGAGTCAGAATCTGCGACTGATATCAAATTGGCCGGGTTCCGGACCCGACTTGAAGCAATCGCATGTTTAGCCACACGGATGAGCTGTGAAACAGTCAGTCTGAGGATTACTATATATATATATATTTAGTTAAACCTTGAGAGCCAGACAAACCTACCAAGGTTTCACCTAACCTAAGCGGATCGTCAGGGAAGCCAGCCTTTCCTGACGATCCGCTTAGGTGAAACTTAGGTTTCTTGTCTGGCTCTCTAAGTTTAACTAAGTCTGCTCTACTCATTGTATTAAGCACTTTATTTAGTTATTTTGCGTACTCGCATCGGGCTTTGGACTTGCATACTGGACGATTATTTTCGGCTGACGTACATGTTCTTGGTTCTTTCTTTTTTATACCTTTTTTCCCTTTTCGTATTGGTTTGATTATTTGCAAATCATGACACCGAAGGTTTTCCGAGCGAGTATAGTTTCTTATACTTATAAGATTACTACTAATATATATATATATATATATATATATATATATATATATATATATATATATATATATATATATATTAAAACAACGGACATTTTGTGTCGATTAATTCTAACAGTCGACTTTTCCAGATTACGAATACTCCTTCTCAATCAAAAAGGAAATGCCATCATAAATAGTCCAAACAGTCCGAAGTTCATTTCGGAAGAAAAGTACAAGTATGGTCCAAGCTTTCGAAATTCTTAGGTCATTATCAGGATAGAAAAGTTGAAACTTTAGACTGTAATGTTAAGAAAGTCAAAATCTGAGGGTCATGCAAGAAGAATACTTCCAGAAGTTCATATAGGCAGGGAAGGATGGAAAAATGCATTAGACTCGAGGTGGGGTATTTTGTTAGACATTTTCATGACGGTCGTCTTCGGGTATAGAATCCAGAGGTTGGCAGTGAATATTTCGGAGACAGTAGGAAAGCGTAGTGGAGGTTCGCAGTGGATATCGTAACAAAGTAGCAGAGCGTAGTTCTTCCGTCTGTCATGTTCGCCGGACAAGTTGCCTCTGGTCATTCCAGTAAGAAAACAAAGATGGCCGCCTTTATACACGACGGATACAGTGTTGTGCGGCTTCTGATTGGTCAACCTTCTATTAGTCGACTATAAAGGGAAACAAGTCATTTTGACTCGCTCACTAGTTATGTACAGTATATACCCAAAAAACTGTAACAACTATGTAATTTGTTGTTTGGGAATTGAAATAAATTGTTTGTGACATTAGTCCCGTTACTTTTCAGACAAACCTCGTAGGTATGCATAATTTTGCTCATCTCCCGCAACCACTGTCACGTTGGCTTGGAATCCCCAGGACCGGACCTCCTCCTGTCTAAAATAAGGTGAGACTTTTATTCCACGTCCGACCAAAAGCTCATCACTGCTTCCATTCCAATTCCCGGTCATAGTTTCCCTTTTGGAAAGATTTAGTCTGAGTCCCATTTCTCGGAACACTTAGTAGAGGGTACTGATTTTTTGGATCAAGATCGTTCTTATTCTAACTATGAATATCTATGTCATCAGCATAGACCTTCTTATCATCTGTACATTGGCCTCGGGAGGAATTGATCGATTTATCTCAATCAGTTCATATCTATCGATGTTGGACTTCCTTTACTCTTTTTTTATCTCGATCTGTTTATACTCTCTACATCTTCTCATCTCTCTCTCTCTCTCTCTCTCACTATATATATATATATATATATATATATATATATATATATATATATATATATAAAGCAGCGGTATATGATTGGGTCTTTGCAATTTACCTGAAGCTATCTATTTTAGCTTTTTCATCTCTCTTTCCCTCTCCTTTTCTCTGTATTATTTAGGTATGGTTATAACACGTTTTCTCTCTGACTGTCTCTCTCTCTTTCTTTTACATCTCTTTCTTTCTCTCTCTTTCTCTCTTTTTCTCTATGTACCACCAATTACAATCGTCCGATCAGTGTTTTTTTTTAGGTCTGGTCAGCGCTACGCTCACGACTGTCTTAGTTGTCAAGCCTTTCAATGTGAGGCGAATTATTTTACATGCTCAGTTTCTGTGTTGAGTGACCTAACTTCTGCTATGACACCATATTTAACGCCTTGATAGCAATTTTCTTGGAGAAGACCCCCCCCCACCAGCCAGCAATTCCTTTCGCAGAGAGCCTCGCCAAATTCTATCCTCCCGGTATGCTTTATCTTTACACGAGTCAGATTAGAATAAAAAATGAATATTGCTGTCATATTAGTTTAGAGGGATTTCGTATGTCCAAAATGTTATATATTAGATAAATTAACATACTTGCACCCCAACGAGATAAAGAGGTGTATGAGTAAAAAGTGTCGAGCCTGAAATAAAATTAGAATATAGCAAGAGAGGAGACAGACACGTACGAACGGGAAATATGTGCTCAGTAGAGGAAACTGTATCAACATTGATTGAACCGATGCCAAGGATTCTTTGACAGATTCTTGCTAGAGCCGCTAAACCACCTGAAAGATCACCCGATCATTCCATATACACAATCACCCAGGCATTTATAGGCATACGCCTACCTATAAACATTAATAAGAAATCTTTAAAAATTCTGCAAATATAAATATTTCCCCGTGAAATTCTTTTGCGGTTGGGCAGTTTAAAAGTACACCTGGCTATAAAGTGATTCTCCCTGTATAACACAATTTAAAAGCTTGCGAAAACATATTTTAAATTTTATTAAAGACACTCAAAAAAGCTGAAAAAAAAAAACAATGTATCTACTCAAACACGTGAAACAATGAAATATAACGTTTATAGTAATAATATTACAAATGTATTTATTCCTTGGAAATCACTTTGCTTACGGATACGAAAGTAAAGTTATCAAATATGGGCTTTGAAAGGTCTGAACGAGAGAATGTATTTTAATTGAAAAGCATTGTGTGTGTGTGTGTATGCGTGTCTCTGTGTGTGCGTGTGTGTGTGTGTGTGTGTGGCATCCGTCTGTCTTGAGAGACCCTCTGGATCTGCGCCCAGAGCGTTATACCTCAGCTGCCGATGGCAGCGCAGAATCTGTTATGGCTGTACAGCCCCACACGGAAGTAACAGTCTCGATTACAACGAATGCATGTGATGACGCTCTCTCTCTCTCTCTCTCTCTCTCTCTCTCTCTCTCAATGTCGCTGTGTTGTTTTCTTTTCGCTGAGCACGCTTAACTCTCCGTTTCTTTACTCCTCGCTCCAGCCGTCTGTGTAAATGGCGTCTCCAACATGAAGGATCGTTGGCGACGCCTTCGAGCCTCTCAATGTCAATGTCCATCGCTCTCATATCCATTTTGTAGATGTTCTTGAAGCGAAGATGAGGTTGTTCTCGTGCCCTTTTGCCGCATTTTTTTAAATCTATTACACAAAAGAAAATCAATATATAAAAAAATCGATTATTATTATACAAAAATATATTATTATATATTAGTTCAATTTACACGCATGCGCAAGAAACTAGTGGCGAGATAAAGAGGCGGGTGAATATAAATTGTCGAGCTGGGGACAGAATTAGAATATAACAGAAAAGAGACAAACAAATACGAAATGAAAACATTGTTCTCAATAGGACAGATTGGTTTTTCACTTTCTTTCAGAAAATCAACATTGCACTTGGTGTGACACTTGGGGGGTTTGATGTGATAATTCCTGACACCCAAAATTAGATTTATAGTTTTTACCAATGTCTGTGCATTTAATTTTAAAGGTTGTCTGAAAAAGTGTACAGAAATGCTTAATTCCCGTAGGTTTTTATTTCGCAAATTGAC